CGGTTATAAATGTTGCTAGGCTGACGTGAAGGCAAAAGGACTTAAAAGCAAATTATCCTGGTGGTTGTGTCGGTGCGAAATTCTAATGGACTAGAAAGCAGCACAAAGTTAACGAGAATAGAGCTTCGGGCTAGTAAATTATTATTGGTGCTTTTATTAGAATATTGGAAACAAAATATGCTGATGTTCATTCCTCAAATTTTTCCTAACAATTCAAACTGGCTTCGCTTAATGAGAAGCCAGAAAAATTTATTAAATAAATGGATGTAAATTTCACCTTTGAACTTTTAAAAAAAAAAAAAAATACACTTCAAACATTTTTAAAATAAATAAACTCAGATCAAAATAGTTTAACATTTGCCAACTAAGGAGTGCCTACTTAAGGTACCCTTTCCTTTTAATCGTCCTTAAAAAATCAATTCGAAAAATTAGGAAAAAATCATTCTGCACAATAGTATTATAGGGCCTGTGATATTTATAACTTTTTAAATTTTCCCCAAATTTCTAAGTAAAAGAACAATTATCATACAGTACCTACCATACATAGCTACATCATTGGAAATAATGTTTTTTATAAATAATGCGAGATATGGAGGTTAAGAACTGCGTCTGCCTGAAACCAACTCAACTAAAAACTTCCAACAATTAATCACAAATGTCACATTTTTGTCACGTTTAAAATATGGGTAGATAAAAAAGTGAGCTATTCATTTTTCAAATCACGATCCGTCGTTGTACCCTTTGTTGACAACTTTTTGGTGGAAAAACTTTTAAGCCTCCGGTTATTCCTATATATAATACCTCATTACATTAGAATTTTTGCAATATTAAATCATCTCTGCCCTAAATGCATTGTATTTTTATTTATTTTTATTTTTTTTTTGGTTTTTTGGGAGAAGTAAAAATTTTATTTTCTATTGATTTTGCTTTTATACGAGAGAAAAAAATCAATAAATCTTGAAAAATAATAATTTCATAAAAACTGGTTACAAAATGGATCATTCGAGTTTATTGCAATGCAATGAAAAAAAATTAAATAAAATGGCCAATTTTGGACAAAAAAAGTTCATACAATATAGGGTCTAAACCTAACCATTTTTAAGAAAAAGGTCTTTTGACGAATGAATAAAAATATTTAACCTTTTGAGGTCTAAAAAGATTAATCACATTGAATTATTAGGTAATTATGCATTTTTAATCAAAAATATTAACTAAAATTTAAAAAAATAACATGGGAATGTTACTCGTAATTCGGTTTCTAAACATCTGGCAACATAGCACAAAAAAGAATCTTTGGTTCAGGTAGTCAAACCTAAAGCGGGGTTCTCACTAGGCCATTTCATAGATCAATATCATTGAATTTATGCCATTGAAGTAAAATAGACTAATGTGAACAACCATTCAATGATGTTGCTCAATGATTTTGTGTTTCAATCAAATTGGAAGGCATTTCTACAGCCGGGTTCTCACTAGGCCATTTCATGGATCAGTATTATTGAATCTATAGGATTGAACATAGAATGGAATGGAAAATTTGTTCACATTTTCCAATAACATTGAAGATCTAGTGTGTTTTAAAAATGGCTGCATAGAGGAAAATTCTGCGTGCCGGTGTGAGTATTTAAAAACCGCGATAAAAAACAGGAAAAATAGGAAACTTCGTCGATGATGGGTTAGACCATGGATAAAACAACGTATATATGAAGGTGCTTCTGTGAAGCTGATAAAAGAATGGGGAACAGGTGACCAGGATTCTTATAGGAACCACTCAAGAATGACCGAAGAGAAATTTGAAGAACTTCTACAGAAAGTGTGACCCTTGCTACAGAAAAAAAATCCTCCATTGAGGAACGCTCACTCAAATTACAAGTAGTTTTAAGATATTTAGCTACTGGAGATTCTTTTCCGTCTTTGGGTGCACTGTACCGAATTCTAATGGAGGTTGGTAACACATTATATAATTTGGGGCCATAGAAGGAAATTCCCGTTTTTATTTTATGTATTCTATGGAAGTTTGTATAGAGGTTGTCCCTATTCCTGGTGAGATGTTGGTGTATGTCCTCATGGCTCTGGTAATCATTGACATTACACCTGACATGAATCAGACAATGATAGACATATAAGGAGGGCACTGTTAATACCTTTGATTTCACAAAGTCATTCCTACACTCCGCTCGATAAGTTCTATAACACAATATTCGAATCGCCCTCCTCTGAAGTGCAAAGACTCTTTGCGCTTCTGCCGTATGTCCCCAGACCAGAATTCCATATGATATTTTTGACTGGACACAAGCAAAAAAGATGGCCCGTGCTGCTTGCTCGAAAACACTCTCCATCATTGTTCTGAGTGCATAGACTCCTGACGCCACTTTGGCACATATGTTATTGACATGTGGAATCCATGTCAACTTTGCGTCAATACTCACCCCCAGGAACGTAACTGGCTCATTATGTAGCAATTCAAATTCCCTCGTGGATATTACTAGGGTGCTATTTTTTGATTCATTCATACTCAATTTATTCGCTGAGAACCAATCAGTAACCCTCAACTGTGTCTCCTCCAGACTCCGTCTGAGTGTTTCAAAATCCCTGGCCTTTCTAATCAGAGTCGTATCATCAGCGAACAATATCAGGTCAGAACTGGGATCACACCCCTCCAAATCATTTATGTAGATCAGGAAGAGCAGTGGTCCCAGCATTGACCCTTGAGGAACACCATATTCTAGTTTGATAGAGGATGAGCGTTTATCCGCTACGCTTACTATACTTGCGACCTTCCTGTAAGATACGACTCTAATAAGCCTATACTTTCAGGTGCAAATCTGTATTGTAGCAATTTTATCAGAAGGAGATCAGAGGAGACACAGTCGAAGGCTTTGCTTAGATCACAGAACAGAGCCCCACTATATTCCCCATTTTCAATCCCCTCATTAACCCTTTCTATGAACAAATTGATAGCACTAGTAGTAGACTTTCCACTCCTGAAGCCAAACTGCTTAGAACTAAATAAATTTTGACTCTCAAAATAATTTGTTATTCTATTTTTAAGTGCCTTTTCGAAAATCTTGGAGAAAACTGGGACAATTGATATAGGACGGTAATTACTCAAATCTTCCATTTCACCTTTTTTATATATTGGCACAACCCTGGATATTTTTAGAACTGATGGAAAGACTGCATCTCTTATACACAAATTTAACAGCTTCGTAAGAGGATAGATAATAATATTAACAAGTGATTTTATTATTTTAGAGTTCATTCCATAAAAATCCTTGCTTTTTTTTGTTTTTTAATTGTTTCACTATGTCTCTAACTTCATTAATTGATATGGGAGTGAAATTGAAAACTGTGTCGGATATACAAATTTTTTTGATAAAATTGTTTACATAATATTGTGGAGTATTTATAGCTGTAGGTAAGTTACTAACAATTTGGGCTGCTATATTAGCAAAATAAAGATTATAGTCATTTGGAAAGAAATTGTTGCTGTTTTGAAGGCATTTTTGTTTTGTGATATTAGAGTTTTCTCTCCAACTCCCATATCGTTTTCGGGTTGAAATTATGCTTTTGTAGATAGGAAAAATGAGCCCTTTTTTGGCTTCTCGTATGGAAATTAGGTAATTTCTTTTTAGAGACTGTTTTAATTGTGCCAGAAAAGGACAATTCCTCTGTTTGGCTGCTTCTGAAACAAATTGCAATAGTTCTCTCTGTGCGCGCAGACTATCATTATACCATTTAATGTATTTTTTATTATGAGTGATTTCAATTTCCGGAAAAGCTAATTCAATATTATTTTTGAGAAGGTTGACAAAAAGAGAGAATTTGTCATCAGTTGACATTAATCCCGAGTTTACAAAATCCCAATCCATGGAATCAACTAACCCATACAGATTGAAAATGCCCTGCTCTGTGATTGGTCGGCTTTTATGAACCTGTTCTGTATCTTTTAATGAATGCTTTAAAGTTATTTCTGCATAAAGAGCGAGGTGGTCTGATATGTTCAAATCCCTTGTATATGCCCTAGAGACTGTAAAACTAACAAAAACATTGTCTATGCATGAACCTCCGCGCGTTGGTGTAGAGATAACCTTACAAAACCCAAATGTATTTATAAGATCCAAAAGAGAAACTGCTTTACTATCATGCGACAGAAAGTTAACATTGAAGTCTCCATTTATTAGAATATCATATCTTGTTGATCTTATTTTTTGCACATTTTGTTCGAAAATATACTCCTGGACAAAATTATCGCACCACTGCACATAAGCATCACCATAAGCAGTGGTGCGATAATTTTGTCCAGGAGTATATTTAAAAAAAATTCAAAATTTCCAGATGGAGGTCTGTATTACATGTTATTACAATAAATTTTAGTTTATTTGATTGGGCTGCACATACCTCACAATGCATTTCCTGCGATAGACTATTTATGTCATCTCTGCCTTTGAAAGTGTGTGCTAAGGATTGTTTAATAGCAATCCCTACCCCTCCATGAGAATGCTCTTTTCGACAGTAATAGGAAACAACATTATAATTTATAATTTTCATGACTATTGCTTCATGATCAAGTAACCAGTGTTCGCTAAAACAAAAAATATCTGCGTTTAAATTTGAAGATTCCAAATTTACTAACTTATTCCTTATACATTGAAGATTTAAGTGTACAATAACTAAGGATTCCAAAACTGAAACATTATTAGGAATATCGATTTCATTTAGACCTAGGCTAAAAAATCACCAGCACAAGAGTCCAGAAAACCCTTATGTTTCCTGAAATCAAACCTCTTGACTTCCACGTATCTGGGCCAAAAGTCTGGATTGTACATACTGTCCTTCTGCTGCAGAGGTCCTGTGACAACAAAACATTTCAGCTTATTTTCCCCTGTTGGTAATTCCCTTGCTGTGATTGGTAGACGTTCAAAACCTGGTTTGTTTTTAATGAATTGTATGATATCATTCTCACCACATTCTCTTCGAACTCTATATATATAGAGCCATACCTTCCGATTCCCTCCAGCAAAATTTCCCTCTGCGGGCGGTTGAGCCTTTCCAAGCCTTTTTTTGAAACGCCGTTGCCTTCTAGGATATATGAAACCATCCTGTTCTGTTTTATCGCTGACGTCAGAAACAGCTGATGAAGCGTCGCCTTTCGATTTCGATTCATTTTGAGTGCTTGGAGTTGGTATGTTTAAGTGTAGGTTCCGGCCTTCAGATTGTTTTCTGACAGTGTTGGAGTAACTATTTTTATCCTTTTCAGGTTGTTCCGGCCCAGCCTTTTGATTAAAAGCTGCATTTTGATTTGCTGCGCCACTGGCTTCCGCGTTTTGGTTTGGTTGGTTCGACCTTTGAATTTTTATCTGTGGTTGCATTGTTGATATTGACACTCCATGTTTTTCGGCCAAAGGTTGTTTACGATTTTGGTGTTTATTTACGTTAAAGTCGGACTGCATTCTTTGAATTTTTTTTCTACCAGTAAACCATTGTTATATTTAGAATATGATTGCTTTCCTTTATTATGCTATTTTTATCCTCTAGTTCAGTTATTAAGCGATTTTTAAAGCTAATTTCATTCTTTAAAAAATTAAGTTGATGCTTTAATTGTAATATCTCCTCCGGGTTTACGGTTGTTGATAATATTAGTGTTCTATCTTCGCATTCCACACACACACAGGCATTTTTTGATTCTAATTCTAGCCTCTTTATTTTGTTATTTGTTCGATTTGCACAACTTATGTGGAAAACTGCTAGGCAAACTTTACACACTAGAGTAGTCGCCCTTTTTCTACAGCATTTGAACACTTCACCACTATTTGTTTCACTTATTAACTCACTATTTTCTGCGTTCTTACTCACAGCAATGGGATCGTCACCTGCACTTGGCGCCATCTTGGTAGATGCAAACGGTATAGATTCAATGATATTGGTCTATGAAATGGCCTAGTGAGAACCCCGCTTTAGTCACTTGAAGTATTGAAAACACGCGTAAAGCGGGGTTCTCACTAGGCCATTTCATAGATCAATATCATTGAATCTACGCCATTGAAGTAAAATAGACTAATGTGAACATCCATTCAATGATATTGCTCAATGATTTTGTGTTTCAATCAAATTGGATGGCATTTCTACTTTTAATGGATCAACGGGATTGATTCAATTAATTGAACGGTAATTGACCGTGAGAACGAGCGTGTTCAGCCGCATTGAACTGCCGGTGTATCTATTTTGACTATTTTGAGGTTAGAATCAAAATAGAACCGCTCGTTACATTTAAAATTTTTGTGAGATAGTGTTTTTGGGCAGTCGGTACAGTGCACCCAAAGACGGAAAATAATCTCCAGTAGCTAAATATCTTAAAACTACTTGTAATTTGAGTCTTGCTGAAAGAGCGTCCCTTATGGAGAATTTTTTTTCTGTATCAAGGGTGACACTTTCTGTAGAAGTTCTTCAAATTTCTCTTCGGTCATTCTTAAGTGGTTCCTATAAGCATCCTGGTCACCTGTTCCCCATTCTTTTATCAGCTTCACAGAAGCACCTTCATATATAAGTTGTTTTATTCATGATCTAACCCACCATCGACGAAGTTTTCTAATTTTCCTGTTTTTTATCGCGGTTTTCAAATACTCACAGAAAATAGGTACACCGGCACGCAGAATTTTCCTCTTTGCAGCCATTTTTAAAACACACTAGATCTTCAATGTTATTGGAAAATGTGAACAAATTTTCCATTCCATTCTATGTTCAATCCTATAGATTCAATAATACTGATCCATGAAATGGCCTAGTGAGAACCCGGCTTAATTCATTATTTATAAAATGTCTACAAAAGTCAAATATGCAGATATGTTACTTATTGTCACACTGTTAACATTTTTCTAAATTTAAATTCTGCGATAACTCCGAAAATACTAAGAAGTGATCCATGTTCAATAGGACAGTTCAAGCTTAAAATGGACCATATTATCACACGCTGAAATATTTATACTCAAACCTGATACTTAACCTGTATAATTTATAGATACTAAATTACCTCATCATCAAAATCTACAAAAAGTAATTTTTCAAATATTCAACATATTATTCAAGTAAAGTTAGTACTCTTCCAACATGGGATTTATGTTTGTTGTAAATTTCTGAAAACTCACTTGTGAGTTAGTAACTGTAGTATCTTCATACAGGCCTATGAAGATACTACAGTTGAACGTGCAGCAAGTTTTTGGATAAATAAATTAGATACCCAGTACATGATATACTTCTATTACATTTTGAATTCTGTCGTTTGATGGATGTTCTATAATCAATAGTATACACATCTCTCAGTAGAACATGGTTGAGTACCGTTAAATCTTTAGAAGGCTTGTCCTCCAAATATACAGTAAAAAAAATCAAGCAAAATTTTACACGAAAAGTGGTCTATATAAGGCCACACCAATTTGTGTATATTTAACACCAAGGTTTTTGGTAAATTTGGCGAGAATTTGCGTGAAGAATTTACACAAAACGGTGTTAAACATAATACACTATATCATGTAACTTTTACACTAAGTTATATTAAATATACACACAACAGTGTACGTATTTCCAAATATGCGTGTTGTCTTTACACAAAACAGTGTTAAATAGAATACACCGAATAGTGTTAATGTACAGGATGGAACATCCTGTTTTTTGTATGATTTTTTGGAAAGTCGCATTTTTTACGACTAGTCTGTTGAAAATATTTGATATTTCGATAGTTGTTTTTATTTTATTTTATTTTATTTTCTGATGTTTCATCCTTAACTTTTTCAGCTTAACCTATTTAATTTAATGGGAGGTATAGGTAATGACCATTCCTCACAAACCTATTAAATTAAACTGGTAAAACTAAAATTGAGGATAAACATTAAAATAAAATAAAAATAGCTATCGGATCAAATATTTTCAATCATAATAGACGTGAAAATGTGCGACTTTTCCAAAAATCATACAAAACACATTAAAAAACTGTTCATTTATGGCGTAACTCTGTTTTGGAGAATTTGGTTTTGGTTTCTAATGATTTTTATTGTAGACAACGACAAACGAACATCAACCATCCCATCAGCACATCAGCACGCTTGGAACTGATCACTGTCACACAAAAGAAGGTAGAGGACGGAGGGCTTGACCCGACACACTATTGAGTGTATAAACGTTCGTCTACCGTGTAAATTTAAACATATTTGGTGTTCATTTAATGAGAATGGTGTCAAAAATTACATATTGTCATAAGAGTAACACGGATCCAGGATATAACTTTGATTCAACACTGTATTGTGTAAGATATCAGTTTACCAAAATATTGTTGGTTAAGTGGACGGCACTTTACGAACAATGGTGTATAGTTTTTACACACAACGTGTTTTCCACTTTGTCGTGTAATTATACACGGGATTTTTTTTACTGTGTATAAAGACATTTTTCTCACTGCTCATCTTACAATGGTTTCATTAGCAGGAAAATTCGCGGAAGTTGTAAACTTTTTCTTGCGATTGATAAATTGGTTTTCGGCTGAATAAAGAATTCCTGCGCTTTTTCCAAGATTATAAAAATGTCCATCTTGAATATCCTTGATAACAATTAGTAGAGTTCTTGGGTTGTCGGCTTTAGATCGATCCAGTCAAAGTGCTTGCCACGGGCTTTGCAATGTTTATATTTTTTGCTTCTTCGCTTGCCACCTGAGAAGCTTCGTTGCAATTTTGATATTTTTTGCCTGTCCGCCCAATGCCCAAAAAGGTTGCAGCCTGCGTCGCACGATAATCAATGAAATGTGATCGGTATATCAAATTTCACCAATGTTGTTTTCATGATAGCTGGTAATTGAATCGTTGACCAATGTCGCTCTTTTCGGGGCTTCAAGCATTGTTGTGCATATGGCAGCCAACATCATTAGGTCTGTTCTCACAGAAATCATAAACCAGTCAGAGCAAATTTCAATGGTTGAAAATAATGAGAAAACTGGCTGTTGGCGATTTGCACCGCACCAATCAAAAGCGCTCTGACTGGTTTGTTATTTCTGTGAGAACAGACTTTGGCGAAATTCGAAGTCGAATCATCAATGTTATCTTCTAGATCTTTATCACGGCCTTCCAAGACCTTCAGACTAATTCCTATCGAATAACTGAAGGAGATCTTCAAAGGCCTAAACGCTAGGCGTTGTTTTTCATAGCTTGGAAAAATCTTCATGTCAGAAGATTTTCAACTACCAGTTCCCATCCAAAGCTGAACTAATATCTTGGATGTGTTGGTTAGCAAGTTCCACGGATCGTTGCGAATGGCTATGGCACGGTTTTCCGTGCACAATTTCAACACCATTCCACGTTTCACCAAGTTATCATTGCATTTGATAATTCCCTACCACTATCTGAATGCAATATGTTAGGATCAAGCCATTTTTTCTGACACGGCTCACATAACTGCAAATATTGCGCTATCGATTCAACAGTAACATTTTTATATTTAGGGTAAGCTTTATTTATCGTTTTTTTTCCGTATTTATTACCCAAAATAAGTGTTAATAGATTACAAAATGAGGAACATTCTGCCCAACACTGTGTGATAAGCTTTCCCTCGCCACCAAATGTCTTTTTCACTTCGCAAATAAAGCTAATATAAGTTATCGCCTGGATAAAACGTCTTGGGACATCTTTTATATAATTCTGAGATTGGCTAACATGAAATATTTATCGTTATGACGTGTTAGAATTCCGAAAATATAAAGATTAATACATTTTTGTGCAGTTTTGCCATATCTAGTTAATACATTTTCAATTTAACACGTCAATCCTGGGATTGACCAAATTTCGAGCTTTTACCAACCAAATACGTTTTACACCTCAATTAAGTTACTGAAAGTACATAGAATTTATGTTTACCTCCACTAACGAAGGTGAAACTGTCAATCGAGATATTGAAACTTCGTGGTTAGTTTAACTCACAGTTGGCTGGCTACCATAGAAAAGAAGGAATTAATCAAACAACCTTTGATTTTTTTTTTTATAATCACATATTGCAAGTGGCTAGAAACAAAAACTCCTACTTCACCCTTGCATCAACTCTCTTATGGTTTTGTCTTCACCTTAACCTTTTTGAAAATTAGACTATTTTGAAATGCTAGGGGACATTGTCATACTAATTTATTTCACAATAAGACTTTCGCCAACCCCCATTTAGCTCCGAATTATTCCTCCCTAATGTCGACTGGGACCGACCCCAGTCTTTTGTCCTTATCCTTAATTTAAGGTTTCTAGGATTTATACTTCGAGCGCTGTCACGAGAAGACAAATAATGACTAATCCTTCCAAGTTTTATTTCCAACTGTTTTGAAAGGCTCTAGGCTTAACAAAAATGAGCGCTTAATGAAAGTGCGCTTTTTAAAATAGCGCCATCACTAAAAATCACGTGTCCATTTCAAAACACTTCAGATATAAAT